TATCTTGGATAATGGCATGTACTCTGTGTGTGTGTGTGTGTGTGTGTGTGTGTGTGTGTGTGTGTGTGTGTGGTGTGTGTGTATACACAGCAGGAAAGAATATAATCGGAGAGGCCATGGGGAGGAGTCTGAATTTTAGATTTTTGTTTAAGTATAATAGAAATCCATCAGAGTGTTGCTGATTGCAGATTTATTTGAGATGGATAAACATATTTTTATATATGTTTAGCAAAATACAAGGGCATTTAGGAAATGGAGTAATCATATCTAGTTAATTATATCTAGTTGGGAGGAAAGGGAAAAATAAGTACCATTACAGATTTTCCTGTAAAGTAGTCTATGTTTGGTTCTCAAGGAGACAAATATCCAGTTCATTCATGAAAATCTATCTGATATATCCTTTCCTTTTTTAAGTTACTCTAATTTTATCCTCTTTGTGCTTTCTACTTTGTTAAAATAGTGTTTTATCCTATTGCCCCAAAGTTCTTTGTTTGATTCCTTAATATCCTCTTAGATTATAGTACCACTTGCTAAGCTCCAGGTACTCTAAAAACTACTCTATTATAGCACTCTTCACTCAGGGGTTAAGGATACAAGTTTTGGATCCAGACTATGTGGTTTGAATCTGTGCTTCTCCATATGCTGTGTGAATTGGGCAAATTTCTGAACTTCTGTGTGCTCCAATTTTTCCATGTGTAAAATGAGAATAACAATACTGTCTATAAGGTTGTTATTAGGATTAAATGAGTTAATACATGTAAGTAACAAAAAGCAGCATCTGACAAATATGCTAAAATACATATTAACTCTTTCTCTTATGATTACTATTGCATTATATATTGGAGATGATATCCATTCAACTGATTTGTGTGATTAAACAAAACTCCCCTTATAAAACATACCAACTGATGATCACAAAGACATCTACTACATAGTTTATCATCCAAACAGAGATTATAGCATTCACTTTTCAACTTTAAAAGCATTCTTCTAACTAATCAGAATGCTATTTCAAAATGTAAACTTGATAGTAGTCCTCCATTTTTAATGAAGTCAGTTTTATTATCTGACTAGCCCACTATTTTTCTTTCTAGTGTAATGTAGGTCTTGTTTTAAACTTGGTTCAGGCATACAGATGGCCAACAGGCACATGAAAAGATGCTCCACATTGCTAATTATTAGGGAAATGCAAATCAAAACTACAATCAGGTATTACCTCATGCCAGTCAGAATGGCCATCATCAGAAAATCCACAAACAGTAAATGCTGGAGAGGGTGTGGAGAAAAGGGCACCCTCATGCATTGTTGGTGGGAATGTAAATTGATACATCCAACATGGAGAGTAGTATGGAGGTTCCTTAAAAAACTAAAAATAGAACTACCGTATGACCCAGAAATCCCACTACTGGGCATATACCCAGAGGAAACCATAATTCAAAAAGACACATGCACCCCAGTGTTCATTGCAGCAGTGTTTACAATAGCCAGGACAAGGAAGCAACCAAAATGTCCATCAACAGAGGAATGGATAAAGAAGATGTGGTACATATATACAATGGAATATTACTCAGCCATAAAAAGGAATGAAATTGGGTCATTTGTAGAGACGTGGATGGACCTAGAGACTGTCACACAGAGTGAAGTAAGTCAGAAAGAGAAAAACAAATATCGTGTATTAATGCATATGTGTGGAATCTGAAAAAAATGGTACAGATGATCGTATTTACAAAGCAGAGATAGAGACACAGACGTAGAGAACAAATGTATGGATACCAAGGGGGACAGGGGGGTTGGGATGAATTAGGAGATTGGGATTGACATGTATACGCTACTGTGTATACACATATATACACTATGTATAAAATAGATAACTAATGAGAACCTACTGTATAGCACAGGGAAGTCTACTCAATACTCTGTGGTGACCTAAATGGGAAGGAAATCCAAAAAAGAGGGGATATATGTAAACGTATTGCTGATTCACTTTGCTGTACAGTAGAAACTAACACAATATTGTAAAGCAACTATACTCCAGTAAAAAAATTTTTTAAAAAATGCTTCAGCAGTTTCTCTTTTCTTCAGAAAATTCACTGTGACCCTTGTATGGCCCCCTCATCACTAATATCATCATAGATTACTTTCTATCATTGTCTCTGTCATCATCATATTCATCACCATCATCACCATCAATCATTTTCATGTCCTAAGCCTTGTGCTGAATATTTTATGTGGAATTTTCCTTTTAATCCTCACAAAACCTCATGAAGTGAGTATTTTTATTCTTGTCATTTATGAAATGGGGAAACTGAGGCTAAGAGAGTTTAGACTACTTTCCTAATTCATACAACTTGTGAGAGATAGAGCCAGATTTCAAAGCCTGATTGTCTGACACCAGAGCCCTTGGCATTGAACTTAAGTTATATCACCTCCCCTGTAAACATGTTCGTTAAAAGAAAAGTGAACAGGGCTTCCCTGGTGGCGCAGTGGTTGAGAGTACGCCTGCCAATGCAGGGGACACGGGTTCGTGCCCTGGTCCGGGAAGATCCCACATGCCGCGGAGCGGCTGGGCCCATGAGCCGTGGCCACTGAGCCTGCGCGTCCCGAGCCTGTGCTCCGCAACGGGAGAGGCCACAGCAGTGAGAGGCCCACATACCGCAAAAAAAAAAAAAAAAAAAAAGTGAACAACTATATGACTAAGTGCCTTTTCTTACCTCCTTTCTTTTACATCTCAGCCCCATTTCCTGCCACTCCCCCACATCACTGTGTACAATCCAGCCATTTCTATCTTATTTTCTTTGTACTGAAATGTTTATTTTGTCTCTAAGCTTTCACACATGCTGAACCCTCTTCCTGGAGCATTTTCCCTTGTCCAGCTTCTCTGGATGATACCTCATCATGTGAAGTGATAGATTCAATCACACTTATTCTTTTATACTTTTTATCATCTGCTCCACTTTTATTTGGTGCCCCATTCTGTTCTTACAGTCATAGTATTGATCACCTTCTATTTTAAATGTCAATTTACATGTCTCTGTCTCCCAACTAGACCATAGGTTCTGTTAGGGCAAGTACAGTGTCTGCCTTCTCTACCACTGAATTACTAGTGTGTTGGCACATAATGAACACTTGAGAACATAAAGGAAACTTGCATCACGTGGAGTTAAACAGTCAAGGAAGACTTTATTCAAGACTATTGTAAAAGGGAGGAGATATTGAACTTAACTCTGCTGAAATATATGGTGGGAAATTTTTAAGAGCTGACCTGATCTGGTCAAAAAATACTAGCAGATGAGGACTTCCCTGGTGGTGTAGTGGTTAAGAATCTGCCTGACAATGCAGGGGACAGCGGTTCGAGCCCTGGTCCGGGAAGATCCCACATGCCGTGGAGCAACTAAGCCTGTGCGCCACAACTACTGAGCCTGGGCTCTAGAGCCTGCGAGCCACAACTACTGAAGCCCATGCGCCTACAGCCCATGCTCCACAACGAGAAAAGCCACCGCAATGAGAAGCCCGCGCACCACAATAGAGAGTGGCCCCGCTCGCCACAACTAGAGGAGCAACCCGGGCAGCAACGAAGACCCAATGCAGCCAAAAATAAATTAATTAATTAATTAAAAATAATAATACTAGAAGATGTTAGGAGGAAGTTAGTCAATGTGATGAGGTCATTTGGGTTTGTTAATAGTGCCTATTATTAGGCTTGGACCCTCACCTAGACGCTAGGAGATAGAGACACTATTTTTCTTGATGATTACATCTCAAAAGGGTGGCTCCCAAGTCCTTGAGAAAGACATTCCTGTGCTGTGAAACTGGCAAGAGGTTGGGAAAAGAATTATATCTCAAAGGGCCAGAAAAATAATTCATAATTGCAAGTTTAAAGTAAATGCTCTGAGAAAAGGGAGGTCAGGGGCCTAAAATCAGAAGAAACCTATGTAAAGTTTAGTCAAGCCTAGGGGAATTGTAAGGCCATCTTAGTCAGGATCTATTTGTTAAATAAATGGATAATTAACCAGAAAATCTGAACGCTCCATTATACAGTGAATAAAGTTTGACATGTAGTAATTAAGGACTTTTATATGAGTTTTTATTTATAAAATTTAAATACACACATGACATTTGGCTTTTTAAATATTCAAACTAATTGTTCTGATTACATTTGCATATTTCTCTAATTCATAAAAATAAACTAACATTATTATAATATGGTACTTCACAAGCAGGTTAATGTTTTAATTGAACATTTAGTTCTCAAATACTGAAGCTTCCAAGAAATTATTGACAATGTTAAAGTGCATTGTAAATAATAACTCAGTATAAACATAGTAACTGGATAGAGCAAAAATAATTTTGTTGCATGCTAACTGAAGTTCTTGCATATTTTAAATGGTGTTTAATATTGCTTAAATTATTGTGGCTGTAAAGAACATACATCTAATCTAATTAAACCTGTGTAATTTCAAAGAAGGTAAACTTAGTAGCTACATGAATATTACATTAATATTCCCCACAGTGTCATTGAATATGGTATTGGTTATGTTTTCATAGTATTTTTGCTTTCATTTTTTGTACATTAAGAATTTTATGAATCACCTCAAATATAGGACAGCACTTAATTTAGCTAAATCTATCGTAAGAATTTATCATTCTTTAAATTATATGGTTTACTTATTTTTCCTTTCCAGCATCACCCTTGTCTCTCCCAATTCCAGAAGCCCAACTATGTACATGTTTATGGAGGTTAATCCCGGACCTGAATTTCATTAACTGACCATAGCCATAGTTGAGTTTCTACAGTAATGAGTTCATTGGGCAGAAATTTTGTAAAGATATGGGGGAAAGAGGAGGGGTAAATACTATCTACATTTGAAAGGACCAAATTTACAAATCAGTACTCTTTTAAAGCAATTTTTTTCTCCTTGACTAACTGGGAGTTTATTTGCATGCATTCTAAGTGGCAGTGCATGGGAAACTAAGACTTTTGTTATTTTCATTTAACACAGACTCACCCAGAAAGCACAACCCTGATTTTTCATGAGAAGGACCATCTATGGAACCTAAAACGTGAGTACTATTTATTTTGTGCTACTGAATTCTGCTCTGCTATATAACTGACCTTGTGATAAGACGTGGCCTTTATTAAGATATATAATGAAAGTCTTGATTAAGTTTAAGTGTAGACCATAAGAAGTACAGAAAGTAAGAACTGATGTGTCTGTTCTATTGTTCAGGTTAAAGAATTCTAGTAGTTAGTAGATACTTAACTTTGAAGAAGATAATATAACCGTGCTATTCACTGATACTTAGTTTAAAGCAGATAGCTTTATATACTTTTGATATTCCAATTTATTTATGGTTGATAAAATTTATAAAATAATCCCTTACAAATAAACATTTCCTATGCTATTTTGTACATAATTTATTTTTTCATCTTTTCTGTGATCAATATCCCTGAGTACTTAGAGCCTATATTTATTGTTTCAGTTTTTCTCTGAGTTTTTTTTCAAATGGAGTAAGTAGTCGGTTAAAGATAAAAGATTGGTGCACCTTTTTTCCTTGTTCTGTCACAGATCCGTCTTTCCATTACTTACTAATTGTTGGCATCTCTTCTCCCTGTTTGGCTTCTGATAAGTTGTCTTTGATAACCTGCTGTTTTGTTCTTGAACTTTGCCATGGCTACAGCTGTGGGGTATCAGAACTGTCAAAAATAAAAGTAAAAGAGCAAGAGGCACAGAGCTTATGAAACTTAGAGAAGACATAAAGCCTGGTATCAACTGGTGAATTTTCCACTGGCAGGTAGTTTTCACTTTATCCCATTTGTTGTCACAGTACACAGTACCTGAAATAATAAGGGAATTTTTTCCCCCAATAAATGGACTATCGGGGCTGTTTGCTTTGTGAGAATCTGCGAAGGCAACATGCCATGTGGCTTTATCTTTGAAAGTGAGGATGAAACAAGCTTGCCTGGCTTCAGATAAGCGACTTAGAAGGAATCCTGTTCAGATGTACCTGTCACTAATTGATCTGGAGGTTTTGTGATTCATACATACTACTCTGTGTGCGATGAAGCATTAAATTGGTTTCCTCCGGGAGCAGGACACATTCAGGGGTCGTCAGACCTATGCTATAGGATGGTGCATGCTTGATTCATATAGCCTCTCACTACTGAATTTTTATCTGTTAGAGGACTGGTAACGTGAACATATGTTAGATGATCTCTTGGAACATTTCAACAGCAAAGGGATTGACAACAATTTGTCTATTAATATGCAGGTGTATGTAACAAAAAATTAATCAACCTTTCTGCTGTTAGTATAATCATTTATCCTGATAATTAAGTAGTTATACATATGTTTCCCAATAATGGCCTAGCCCTTGATGAATGCATTTCTATGACTCCTTTATTTATTGAAACAAAGGGATATGTACTTAAGTGCATTACTTTATAGTGGGAAAAAAATGCAGAGCTGATTTGAAACAGGTCTCCTGGAAGAAAATCTTTAGAAAGCAAAGAGTTTTCCCATTTATAATATAGTTTTCTACTGTGGCAATTCTACTTTGTTACTCTATATATTTTGAAAGAAAATGGCATACCTTGGAAAGTGAGACAGATACTGGTTCAAATTTGAAAGGAACATAAAAGAAAGAGATGTCTATTTATATGTTAACATTGTGCTGAGAGATTTTTCATATGGATTTTTTTTATGTGGTATATTTAACAAATGCAAAAATGAAAAAACCCTATTCTTCATTTTATTATTTCCATGATGGGGTATATAAAACTAAAACCTAATATCTTCCCTTGGGGTTTTTGTTTGTTTGTTTGTTTGTTTTTTGCAGTACGCGGGCCTCTCACTGTTGTGGGCTCTCCCATTCCGGAGCACAGGCTCCGGACGCGCAGGCTCAGTGGCCATGGCTCACGGGCCCAGCTGCTCCACGGCATGTGGGATCTTCCCGGACCGGGGCACGAACCCGTGTCCCTTGCATTGGCAGGCGGACACTGCGCCACCAGGGAAGCCCTATGCTGCATTTTTATATAGTGTAAGTCTTCAGATTTTATCCTAGGTGTGAAAATGTGGAACATTTAACATAAACTGGAATTTTCCTATTAATGAGTTATATCATAATTAGGGCATTACTGTAGGAACCTACTAAGTCATTTATGCACGATTCACAATATTTAAATAAGATATTCTTCACATTTCACAATCCTTAAATTAAACTGTGGTCTTAAAACCTTGCAAGGCCTCCTAATAAACAGGAGTGTGAAGTAAATATATTTAATAATATTATTTTAAGATTTCAAAATATTAGTAAGCATTTTTCTGAAAAGAAAGGAAAGAAAGAAAAGCAGTTCATGAAACTAGGAAAAAAATACTGTTATACCATATGCAAAGTACACATGATTAGGCCTATTTCTGCCCTCTTCTCTCCATTCCAATTTTGTTTTTTGCTATAGACAATAAAAAATGCATAACTTTGAATTTTCCATATCTTTTTTTAAACCTATTATATACCTCACTACAAGGTATTTTCTTAATTTTTTTTTTTAAGAAAAATCTTTTATAAATACAGACTAAATTCACGTTATTTTCAGAATGAAAATAGCATGAGCCATTTATGGAATAAAATGAACCATTTTGTTAGAGACATTTAAAGGATTTAACAAGTATTTTGTTGCTAAGATTATAATGGTACTTTTAAATAGTTTTTTATATCTATCATGAATTTTTCCTCTGTTCTCTTATAAGTTTAAGGTGTACAGCATTATAATTTAACATCTGTATACACCAAAGAGAGATTACCACCACAAGTCTAATTACCATCCAACTGCATACAGTTGACCCCCTTCACTTAGTTTGCCCACTCCTAAATCCCTTCTACTTAGGTAATCAGTAATCTTATCTCTATATATAAGTTTATTTTTATTGGTTAGTTTTGTTTTTTTAGATTTTACGTATGAGTGAAATCTTAAGGTATTTGTATTTTTCCATCTGACTTATTTCACTTAGCATTATTCTCTTAAGGTCCATCCAAGTTGTCACAAATGGCAGGATTTCATTCTTTTTATGGCTGAGTAGTATTCCATTGCATACATACACCACATCTTTATCCATTCTTTTATTGATGGACACTTATGTTGTTTCCACATCTTGGCTATTGTAAATAATGCTGCAGTGAACATAGGGGTACATATATCTTTTTGAATTAGTGTTTTCATGTTCTTCAGATAAACACCCAGAAGTTTAATAGCTGGGTCGTATTGTGGTTCTATTCATAATTGTTTGAGGAATATCCATAACTATTTTCCATAGTGGCTACACCATTTTACAGTCCCATCAACAGTGTATGAGGGTTCCCTTTTTCCACATCCTCTACAACATTTGTTATTTCTTGTCTTTTCAATAACAGCCATTCTTTTTCTCTTTTCTTTACATGGTGAGTAAATCCCCACATTTCAGACTCTGCTTAAATAGATTAAATATCACCTCTTCTAAAAAGTATTTTCTAGTTGTCTAATCTAGTCTTGATCTCTCACAGACTTCTTTGATCTCATAGCATTTGCCATAATATTTAAGTATTTTACCTATATTTTATAAATATTAATTATATAAATAATATACTATATATAGAGAGAAAGAATATTATTTACCTGTTTATATTTTGTCTGTTATACAAAACTTAAGCACAATTTCAGTGCCTAGCATAGTGCCTAGTATATAATAAATAGTCAATAAAATTTGTTGAGTTTATGAAATCAGATAATTAAAACAAAATAATTCCATAACTAAGAGTATAAGAAATATAAAGTATATATTAAATATATAGAACAGAAAGTTATATAATTACTGGTTAATTTAACAAAATAATTACAAATATCATATACAAACAGACAAGTCAGCAAGCTTCACAGAGTAGCTTCTCCAGAAAACAACTGAACCCTACCAATACCTATTGGATATTAAGTGCCATGGAATCTGTAAGTAGTATTGTCTTAGAGTAATTATGAAAATTTCCATGGATATCTTCTGAAATAGTTTAAAGAGAAACAAAAATATCTATGTTTTTTAAAAACAACCAGTTATTTTACAAGTGTTTATTGAGAGCTGACTGTGTATGAAACTGTGCAAAAGTCTATAGGAGATTTATTATTGTAAATGGTTAACTCTCACCTCATGGGATCAATATATAGTAAGAAAATTCAATATATACTTTTAAAAAGTTAAAGTAGAACTTTAACTATAGAGCAGAAGTTGAAAATGTTAATGGCATTTAGCAGAACTAGAGTTCATTTTTAGCTGAGGGAAATAGCAACAGCATACTGCAGAGGTTAATTTGACACTAATCTTTGAAGAAAGCTGAAGGAATTCTTGGCAGAGGGAATAGCATAAGAAAAGGCATGAAGAAGGTGTTTAGTAAGAATTAGTTGCTCATTTCAACAGGTATATCAAATAAATGTAGGAGGATATATTATGTAGGAGGATATATTATGTTATATAAATGTAGGAGGATATCAGATAAATGTAGGAGGATATATTATGTTATGTTTGGCAGCTGCTTTGGATGGAAGTTATATTTGAAAATAGATTAGGACAAGATTGTGGAAGATTTAATTCTAGTTTAAGAAATAGGGATTTTGTTGGCATGTAGCTAAGTCCCTAGAATATGTTCAATCTCTTCTTATTTTAGAAGCCTAAAAAAAAAAGAATGTGATTATTTTGAATGATGGTTTACACAGAAAAATCTGGCATTACGTATTACAAGATCTCCCTTTTGTATGTGCTATATATTTGCATACATGCCACACATACACATGTGTCAGGGTGTGTGTGTATATGTGTGTGTGCATAGTAAATGTGTATCACTTAATCTGGCTTTATTTTAAAAATAAATTAGAGGAGGAGTCAGTGTCATTATGTATGGAAACTACTGGTCACTTCAGCAAATACTCAATAAACTGATAAAGCAAGGAAACATGAAATAAAATATCAGATGAAGGGCATATCTTTCAGAGACACACTTGAGGAAGAACTCATAAGAATGATGACTTGTGAACTCATTAT